TCTTCAAGGAAATAATGACAGCCCTAGGCAATGTGTTTATGAGGAATTTCCATAGCAAGACCTGACCTGAATGCCAGTAATTCTCTCACAGATAGTGTCTGTATTTTACTGCCTCAGTGTTAAGGCAGTAAAATTTATGATAATTTACTTCCCTCACAATACACAATGCTGCCTAAGAGAAAAATAATGAGTCACTTTAATTTTAAAAAGAAGATTCTTGAAGTTTTAAACTGGCAAGTAAACAGAAATATAACTAGTATTTGCATAATTACTTTCATCTTTTTTACCTTAAACTTATACTTTATTAGCAGGTAGGTTATCCCCTTTAAAATTCATCCATAATTTTAACAAGTCCTCCATTTTCTTTTTTACATTCTTTCTCCCCTAATAAATCAGAACCACTGAAGAAACTCAGGCTTAGGAACTAAATGTTAAAATTGTTCTCCAGAAATAGAAACTTAAAATCAGCTAGCTCTTAAGTACATAGTTCCTTCTGTATGGCTTCCAGCAAGAAAAATAGTTTGGAGTGGGAAAAGAATGCCAAAAAAGCCTGTAATTAATAACAATAATTTAATGAGCAAGTAATAACAATATTTAAATGCACCATTAAAAACTTTGCATACATGATTCATTCAACAAGTATTTATTTAATGCTTACTCTGTGCTAGTCACTATTCCAGGCATTGGAGATAAAATATTGATCAAAACAAAAAACATCTGGCCCTGGCTGGTGTAGCTCAGTGGATTGAGCACCAGCCTGTGAACCAAAGGGTCACCAGTTTGATTCCCAGTTAGGGCATATAACTGGGCTGTGGGCCAGGTCCCCAGTAGGGGGTGCTCAAGAGGCAACCACACATTGATGTTTCTCTCCCCCTCTATCTCCCTCCCTTCTTCTCTCTCTAAAAATAAATAAAATCTTTAAAAAAAAACCCAGACAACATCTGTGTCCTCATGGAACTTAGGTTCTAAATAGTGAGGATGGACAATAAAGAAAATAAGTAATTCTAAAATTTGCATGGGACTACAAAAGATCCCAAATAGAGCCAAAGCAATCTTGAGAAGGAAAAACAAATCACACTCCGATTTCAAACTATACTATAAATTTATAGTAATCAAAACAGTACAGTATTGGCATAAAAAACAGACATACTGACCAGTGGAACAGAATAAAAAAACCCCAAATAACCCCACACATGTATGGACAATTAATTTATGACAAAAGAGAAAAGTACACACAATGGAGAAAGGACAGTCTCATCAGTAAAGGGTGTTGAGAAAAACTGGACAGTCACGTGCAAAAGAATGAAACTATACCAATATCTTACAGAATACACACAAATTAACTCAAAATCAATTAAAGACTTGAATGTAAGACCTGAAATCATAAAATGCCTGGGGGGGGGGAAATCTCTTGATATTAGCTTTAACAATGTTTTTTGTTTGTTTTTAGATATGACTCCAAAGACAAGGGAAACAAAGCAAAAGTAAACAAATGCGGCTACCATCAAACTTAAAATCTTCTGTGCAGCAAGGAAAACTATCAACAAAACTAAAAGGCAACCTACTAAATGGGAGAAGATATCTGAAAATTATATATTCAATAAATAAGGGGCTAATATCCAAAATACATAAAGAACACATACAACTCAACAACAAAACACAACTCAACTTTTAAAAAAATATTTTAAATTTATTTTTAGAGAGAGGGGAAGGAAGGGAGAAAGAGACAGAGAGAAACTTTGATCGGTCACCTATTGCATGCCAACTGGGGACCTGGCTGGTAGACCAGGTATGTGCCCTGACTGGGAATTGAACCTACAACTTTTCGGTTTGCAGGATGATGCCCAATCCACTGAGCCATACCAGTCGGGGCCAACTCAATTTTTAAATGGACAGAGAATCTAAACAGACATTGTCCCCCCAAAAGACATACAGATGGCCAATAGGAACATAAAAAGATGTTCGACATTGCTAATGGGGATGAAAATCAAACCACACTGAGAAACCACTTCACACCTGTAAGAATGGTTGTTATCAAAAAGACAAGAAATAACTAGTGTTGAAGAGGACATGGAGAAAAGGGAGTCCTTGTGCACTGTTGGTAGGAATGTAAATTGATGCAGCCATATGAAAAACAGCATGGAAATTTCTAAAAAGAAAAAAAAGAATAGGATGTCTTTCTGTTCTGTTGATGGTTTTCTTTGGAGTGCAAAAGGTTTTTAGTTTGCTGTAGTTCCATTTGTTTATTTTTGTTTTTGTTGCCCTTGCCCAAGTCAACCTACTAAATGCAGACAATATTTGCAAATGATACCTTTGATAAGGAATAAATATTCAAAATACATAAAGAACTCATACAATTCAACATTAAAAACTACAATTTGATTAAAAAGTGGGCAGAGGACACAAATAGACATTTTTCCAAAGACGACATACAGAGGGACAACGAACATATGAAAAGATGCTCAACATCACAAAACATCAGAGAAATGCAAATCCAAACTGCAATAGCATCTCACACCTATCAGAATAACTTATCAAAAAGTCAACAAATAATGTGTCGGTGAGCATGTGGAAAAAAGGGAACCCTCATGCTCTGCCAGTGGCATTGTAAACTGTCCATTTGTCTGCCTGTCCATCCAAATGTTGATCCATTTGTTGATGAGGACTTCTACCAGCGGTGTCCGTGTTCTGAATACAACAAACAAATTCACATGGAGTACAGTTTTGTGGAGAAAAGGGATGCATGGCTACTCTCTGAGTGAGAGAGCACCTCAACCCTTGCCTGGACAGGCTTTTAATGCTTTCTGGGAGCATTACATCAAGGAAGGTTCTCATTCGTTATGCACAGGTTTGCTTTAGGTGATTACTTTTTACAGATAACAAAGAAAAGGATGTTGCTGATTACTTCTTACCTATAACAAAGAAAAAAATGTTGCAAATGCAAGGGAAAAAGTGGTTGGACTGGTTACACTCCGTCCTTCGGAGGTTTAACCAGTCCTTCCTACAGACTGTAGGAAGTTACTTCAAATCAAAGATATGCATTAAACATTTTCTGTCTTAACTCAGAGTGAGGGAGTTTTAGTAAAAGCAAGCCTCAAAGCAGCTTAGATGTAATCCATGACTGGTTCCCCATGGGAAAGCCCATCTGTGGACCTGGCTCCTGCATGACGCCTCATGCCTATTGTTTTCTGAACCAGGGCTAAGCTACATTCGCCATTGAAACGTGGACTGGTTCCCTATAATTTATCTACTTATTATCTATTTGTCAACTTATTCATAAAAGAACATCCAGACAGACGGAAAGATAATACTGTTGGTAGCATAAAATTCCAAACTGACATACTGGTTTATCACAATGTTTTCTTTTTCCATAGCTGCTTATCGTTTAAAGCAATGGAGTAGGGGGATAAAAGAAAGATTATATTTGTTTTTTTATCATGTACTAGGAAATTTATCTCAGTTTTGCCTCACTCCAGTCAAATGAACTTAAATTTTATTCCCTATGTGTAGCAGATCAGGAAATGAAAGCTGAGTTATGTAAGTTTTGTAGGTCAAACCTTTTGAATACTGCTAATCTCAATTGTGTATTGCTATGTATCAAAAAATAAGATGTTAGCTACTAATGTAATTTGAGAACTTTTAGTGGCCACATTTAAAAAGTAAAAAGAAACAGGTAAACTAATTTTTTTAAAAGTTTTTTATTGATTATGCTGTTACAGTTGTTCTATTCCCCCCTTCATTCCCCTCCACCCTACCCCCCATCCCCACCATTACCCTCCCTTTAGTTTATGACCATGTGTCTCAAGTCCTTTAGATTCTATATTTCCCACGCTATTCTTGCCCCCCCCATCTATTTTCTATCTACTGTCTATGCTACTTATTTTCTGTACCTTCTCCCCCCTTCTCCTCCTCCCACTCCCCTGTTGCTAACCCTCCTTGAGATCTTCATTTCTATGTTTCCACTCCTGATCTAGCTGTCCTTTTAGTTTGCTTTTGTTTTAGGTGTGGTTGTTAATAACTGTGAGTTTGCTGTCCTTTCACTGTTCATGTTTCTTTAACTTCTTTTTCTTAGATAAGTCCCTTTAACATTTCATATAATAAGGGCTTGGTGATGATGAACTCCTTGAACTTGATCTTATCTGAGAAGCACCTTATCTGTCCTTCTATTCTAAATGAAAGTTTTGCTGGATAGAGCAATCTTGGTTGTAGGTCTTTGGATTTCATGACTTGGAATACCTCTTTCTAGCCCCTTCTTGCCTGTAAGGTCTCTTTGGAGAAATCTGCTGACAGTCTGATGGGGACTCCTTTGTAGGTGACTGTCCCCTTAGCTCTTGCTGCTTCTAGGATTCTCTCCTTCATTTTAATTTTGGCTAATGTAATTATGATGTGCCTTGGTGTGTTCCTTCTTGGGTCCAACTTCTTTGGGACTCTCTGAGCTTCCTGGATTTCCTGGAAGTCTATTTCCTTTGCCAGATTGGGGAAATTCTCCTTTATTATTTGTTCAAATAAGTTTTCCACTGGTGGCTGTGCCTTTCCCCCTTCTGGTACCCCTATAATTCGGATGTTGGAGCGCTTAAAGATGTCCTGGAGGTTCCTAAGACTCTCCTCATTTCTTTGAATTCTTGCTTCCTGACTCTTTTCTGTTTGGCCATTATTTGCTTTCTTCTGGTCCACTCCATTGATTTGAGTCCCAGTTTCCTTTTCATTGCTATTGGTGTCCTGTGCAATTCCATTCATTTCAATTAGTTTCGCCTTCATATATTTGTCTAACTTGTGGTTATAATCAACCAGTTCTGTGAGGATCCTGATGACCAGTGTTTTAAACTGTGCGTCTGAGAGTTTTGCTATTTCTTCATCGCTTAGATCTATGGGCTCTGGGGCTTTGAGAACTTGTGACATTTTTGGTCTGTTCTGGCCCTTTAAGTGTGAGAAGCGGTGCCTTGGACTCCCATGTCGCTGTGTTGTGACGCTGTATGTGGGGGTGTGGTCAGAGCGGGGAAATGGCGGTGCCCTCTACTGCCGCTCGCTGTGGGGACCTGCCGGCCCCAGTCCAACCGCCCACTCCCTCGCCTGTCCGCTGGCGCACAAATGGGCGACCACAGTCAATACTCAGCACCGCTTCCCTGCTGTCTCCTCCGCAGTCGCTTGCCTGGTGGCTCGCTCGGTCGCTCACTAGGTCCAACCCTGCTCCTGGATTCCGCGTGTCTGGATTCCACGCCTGAGTCTGTCTGACCCGAGTCCTCCTGTGCAACCCCTCACCAGCCACTGGTTTCGCCCCTTACCGGTCAGGCTGAAGAATTTGTTGTTAATGGACTTCCAAAAAGTTCAATTTTCCGTGTTCTGGCTGTGTTTTCTATTGCTAATATTTAGTTTTCTCTAATCTTGGTTGTGTGAGAAGGCACGGCACGTCCACCTACGCCTCCATCTTGGCGGAAGTCAGGTAAACTAAGTTTAATAATACATTGTATTTAACTCAATATCCAAAAAAATGAATTCCATTTGAAATCAAACCAATTACTAGTGGGATATTTTGCATTTTTTCATACTAGGTTTTTGGAATCTGGTATGTATTTTACACTTATAGGACATCTAAATTCAGACAAGCCATATTTCAAGTGCTTAATCCCCTCATGCAGCCAGCAACTATTGTACTGGAGAGCACAGGTCTGTATACCATACTGCGAACTTATCTAATTCATCTGTGTCTGCAGCAACTAGACCACGTCTGGGATATAGGAGATGGTCAATAAATGTTTGATGATTGAATAGTACACATGAATGAGAACAACAAATATGTTTAAAATGTTACCTCGTCCCTGGAAAAGATAGCTGTAAAGCATGAAATAGAATACCCCTTAACTATTAATAAAACAATGACCTCATAAAATGAGAACACAATCTAAGTATGTCAAATTTGGGGGATATGATCAACGAGGCAACATGTGCTAATGGCAATAACCAAATGGGCAAGATATGTAGGCAATTCACAAAGAACAAATGTCCTACAAACATTTTGAAAAATATTTGTCTACACTAGTATCCACAGAAACATAAGCAGAATAATGTATTATTCTTGCCTATGTAATCGGCAAGGATTAAAAAATGTCTCAGTGTTGGCTAGAATCTGCAGGTAGAAATACAAAACTTTCTGGAGGTAATTTGAGAAAATATATCCAAAACCCTTAAAAGTATGCAAATCATCACATCCAAATTTCTACCCCTACCCTACAATCTCTGGAAATATGCATACAGAGACATTCTGCTTCCAAGACTTGATCCTACAGAAATAATCAGAGATGTGTCCAAAGATATGAATCTATTCATAGCACTAGTGTTTGTGAGGAAAAAATAAGTCTATGAATTGAATAATGGAATTAAGTAATAGTGAATGTATGATAAAAAACCTATGCAATCAATGAACACTCAAATTTTGAAAGATTTAATGACATTGGAAAACATTAAGAAGTAGATTTTAAAAAGAAGGTACAGTGTGGCTCCAATTTTATTAAAATGTTTATATCCCTACTAAAAGTCTAAAACATTATCAGTCTACTAACAGTACATATCTTTGGATAATAATGATGAAAATGAATTTTACTTTCTCCTTTGTATTTTTCAACTTCCCACAATGTACATATTACTTTTGCATTAGGAAAAATGCAGTAAATATTGCTTTTGAAAGACAGAAGAAATAGAAACTGAGCAACTTTTAATTTCATGCCCTTTATCAGTTATTCCTGAGGACAAGCTAGGTGGCATTGCTATTCTCAGTCTCACATTTCTGGTAATGAGCAAGGTGTGGCAACTCATTGCCCAATATTATGGGAGAACTTTGGACATCACTGGTTAAGAAACTATGTTGGCTTCACAGGAAGATGGAGGTATGACTGTTTTTACAGTGTGACTTACTGGTAGCCAAGATGATATCTCAACTTTGGTGCTGCTGGCGTTTGCTGTCTTTCTCAGGGCTGTAATTCTTTTTCAGATGTGGGCAAGAATTATCATTTAAAGAAAGACATGGAAGTAGGAGGCTGCAGTGCCTTCCTTCAATACTCAATCCTTTATGCTGGAAAGAATTTATTTAAAAAATAATCTTTTCTTTTTGTGGGGGCTACAATGTTATCTTGAAGTCTATTTTTAAAATGTAAATATTAAAAAGTAAAAATAATGCTGGAATAAGTAAAGGTTACATTCATAGATTAGCTTGAAACATAACATTTAGGACCACTACCAATTTAACTTTATTATAAAGCAGTATTATAACCTATTACCCATTACAGTAAAGTAATATTATAACCTATTACCCATGACATTAAAGCAATATTGTAACAATCCACTACCTATGATATTTGTATTTTTGTTTCTTTAGTCTTCATTACATGCATTTTTACATAGATTTAATCATTTATACATGAAAAAAATCTGTATTTTTATTATGGTGCCTCGTGTTGTGAAGTTTTATGTTGTTGAACAACATTAATAATTTTTAGATACTGAACCTAACACCAAGTCTGGCAAAGTACTTTATGTTAGCTCACTGATGGATCATAAATCACCAATATTTATTGACTACCTACAGTGTGATGTATTGGGTCTATTTTACTGAATAAGACAAAATCCCAGTTATCATAAAATCTTCATCCAAGTAGCTTCATCTGAGAAACTTAACCACAGAGAGATCAGGTAACTGGCCCAAGATCATCCGTGCAGCAGGTGTTAAAGCAGAGATTCCAACCCAGGTAATCTGTCTTCAGGGCTTGCAACTCTGCACTGGTACCAAGAGAATGCTCCAGCAGTTCAGGTAATATGTCAGTCAGAGTTCAAATAGTTGTATTAGTTTACTTGTTGCTGCTATAACAAATTACCACATACTTAATTGCTTAAAATGACAAAAATTTATGATCTTAACAATTCTACAGGTCAGAAGTTCAAATTCAGTTTCACTGGGCTAAAGTCAAGGTGTTAGGAGAAATTGTTTTTGCTAGAGGCTCTAAGGCATGGGTCCCCAAACCTTCTGTGGTCTCTTAGGAGCTCTGCCTCCTGTTGCCCCACCCCCTACAGGGGGCCAGCTAGGGATCTTAGCTAAGACCTCCTCCTCATACCCACCCCACCTTGTCATTCAAAAAACCAGATCTTGGTGCCCAAAAGGTTGGGGACCACTATTCTAAGGAGGAAATGTGTCCTTGTCTTTTTTGGCCTCTAAAGGCCACTTATAAATCTTGGCTCATGACTCCTTCCTTGCATCACTCTAACTTCTTGTTTCCATTGTCATATCTACTGTGACTCTGGCCATCTTGCCTCCCTCTTATAAAGACCATTATAATTACTTTGCACCCACCTGGATAAACCAGGCTACTACCCTTATATCAAGTCCTTCTCAATCACACCTGCAAAGCCCTTTTTACCATAGAAGGTAATATACATACTGGGTATTAGGGCATGGACATCTTTGGAGGATATTATTCACCCTGTCACTGTTGTGGACACTATAAGGGCTAAAACTCATCCTGCTTTAGGAAAAAAAATTAGGATTAGTGTAGAAAATAGAGATCTTCCTAGTGAACTCCACTGTAGTCTTTTCTGTGCCAGGATAAGAACAAGGGCTTTGTAGTAAGCCTGCTAGGGGTGCTGGGACAAAATACCAGACTGCGGGCCTTAAAAACCAGAATTTTATTTTCTCACAGTTCTGGAGGCCAGAAGTCTAAGATCAAGGTGTTAGCAGGGTTGGTTTGTTGAGGCTGCTCTCCTAGGCTTGCAGATGGCTGTCTGTCTTCACCCTGTATACCAACAGTCATCTCTTTGTGTGCGCACAAGTCTTGCATCTGTGTATGTGTCTAGATTTCCTCTTGTAAGAACGCCAGTCATAATGGATTAGGGCTCACCCTAATGACCTTGTTTTAACTTAATAACTTTCTTAAAGACCTTACTGAACCCATAATGGGCTTTAACACGTTGACTCCATTTAATCCTCAGATGGCCCAGGTTTGGCAAATGAGAATATGGTGATTTAGGGTGGTTTGTCACTTGTTTAAGGTCTCCCAGCTGGCAAGTATTAAAGGGACAATTCACATACAGGCCTGTCTGCTCCAAAGGCTAGGCTCTCAGCATCCTTCCTAACAGGTGCCAAGACCCTACAGGACACCTACTACATGAGGCCATGCTACCAAGACAGGAAGTCATAGCAGCTCTACCTAATACATACAAACAAACACAGGGAGGCTGACAAAATGAGAAAACAAAGAAATATGACCCACATGAAGGATCAAAACTCCAGAAAAAGAATTAAACAAAATGGATATAAGCAATCTATCGGATGCAGAGTTCAAAACACTGGTTGTCAGGATGCTTAAGGAACTTAGTGAGGACCTCAAAAGCACAAAAAAGATCCAGTCAGAAACAAAGGATACACTAATTGAAATAAAGAACAATTTACAGGAAAACAACAGTACAGTGGATGAAGCTGAGAATCAAATCAATGATTTGGGAACATAATGGAATAAAAAACAACTAATTAGAACAAGAAGAAAAAAAAAATCCCCCCTAATTAGGATAGTGTAAGCAGCCTCTGGGACAACTTCAAACATTTCAACATTTGCATCATAGCATCTCCAGAAGAAAAGATTAAGAGCAAGAAATGGGAAATCTATTTGAAAAAAATAATGAAAGAAAACTTTCCTAATTTGGTGAAGGAAAAAGACATGCAAGTCCAGGAAGCACAGAGAGTCCCAAAGAAGATGGATGCAAAGAAGACCATGTGAAGGCACATCACAATTAAAATGCCAAAGGTTAAAAACACAGGGACAATCTTGAATGCAGCAAGAGAAAAGCAGTTAGTTACCTACAGGGGAGTTCCCATAATACTGTCAGCTCATTTCTCAAAAGAAACTGCAGGGTAGAGGGGATTTGCAAGAAATATTAAAAGTCATGAAAAGCAGGGACCTACAGCCAAGATTGTTTTACCCAGCAAAGCTATCATTTAGAATCAAAGGGCAGATAAAGAGCTTCCCACACAAGAAAATAACTAAAGAAGTTCATTATCACCAAACCATCATTGTATGAAATGTTAAAGGGACATATTTAAGGAAAAGAAGAAAATCAAAACTATGAACAATAAAATGGCAATAATTCATACCAACAACTGAATCTAAAAAAACAAACTAAACAAATAAGAATAGAGACAGCATCCTGAATATAGAGTGTTTTGATGCTTACCAGATGGGAGGGGGCTGTTGGGGAATGGGGGGAGAGGTGAGGGGATTGAAAAGTACAAGTAGTTACAGAATAGCCATGGGGATGTAAAGTACATTATAGGAAATAGAATAGCCAAAGAACTTATACATATGACCCATGGATATGAATCACAGTGTGGGGACTGCCTAAGGGAGTGGGGGGTGCTGGGTAGAGGGAGACAAAGGGGAAAAATTGGGCCAACTATAATAGCACAATCAATAAAATATAATTTTAGGGAAAAGGCAAGATGGCAACAGAGTAGGTTGGAGCAGATTCCAGTTCCTTGTACACAAGGGAGAGAATCCTGTCTAATCAGTGGAGGAGAAAACAGGCGGCCAGCAGTTGCTCAGCATATATGAAAATAAGGGACCAGAAATGTTGACGGTCACGGAGGAACCAGACAGTAGGGAGACAGCAGCAGTACAGTAGAGTCTCCGGGATGCAGCAAAGACAGGAACAGCAGGGAATTCGGGGGATGCACAGTCTGGGGACCAGTGCTTGGCATGTGGCGCACCTCGGCAGGGGCACAGCATTCTGGACCAGTTCCCTGTGCAACTCCCTATTTCAGATTCATCGGGAGGCCGGGCCTGCCGAAAGGACTGAAATAAAATATAATTTTAAAAACAAAAAACAAAGTTGGGAAGAGGGAGGCAGTACTTGTCATAATTTTCAGACTCCAGCCAGATTTTCTGTGGCTCCCACCAGACCTCCACCCCTACCATAACTTACACTAGCTAACTATTCAGTTTACGACCTCAAGATGAGTCTGCATCAGAAGACTAGGGTAAGAGCCCCCTTCATTGAATGAATTTCCCAAGAGAAGACTGGTGATTTCACCTATCTTAAGTCTGAGTACCCCTCATGGCTGTGTAGAGATACAGACAACCCTGATATCAGATTGACGATAGTTACGCTTCTTTGCAACAATGTATTCTCCCATCCCCATTTATCATAAATGGCTGCAGGAGTTTTAAAGAATCTAGGATTTGTTTCATACTAACTTTCATCAACTAAGGAAAATTAAATAAAATTGAAACATTGCATTTTACCTTCTCTAATCGGAATCAGTGCTAATGGGTTAACATTTTAAAATACAGGTCTGAAAATGACGTAGATTTTGGCAAATATTGTAGCCATTCCTCAATAGAATCATTGCTGGAGCTTTTTCCCAAGTGGGAAAGGGACTTTGCCTTAAGGCTTCCTCCATTGTACCATGTAGGAAGCACTGCAGCAGGCGTCTTTAGTTAACCAGGTTCTCTTGGGCCAGCTCCTTTGCCATTTATCTTGCCCAACATTTTTCCAGAGTTGAAGCCTGGGAAAAAGCCTTTAGAGATAAAACACTTTCATGCATGAGAAATGATATATTTTAAAAGACAGAACCCTTTTCTAAGCTCAAATGTTTTTTCCTCATTCTCACTTCTGTTGAAGGTATCCCTTTTGCTTAACTCTGTATTTTTCTTATTACTATATATTTTAGAAAGATTGTACCTATTTTGCCAAAGAAATCTTTTCCAAAGGAAAAAAAAATAGGGTATTTGTAAGACAACAGAAGGCAACATAGATTTAAATTTTATTTCTCCTGATACAGTGTTAGAATTGCATAAAATAGAAACCAACCATATTTCCCTAAAAGTAAGGTATAATGTCTCTATTTCTTCTCTTCAACTCATTGCTGCTATAGCAAAGAAGAATTACAGCTGCTCCTGTCATTAGTCTAAACACTCACTGTCAGTGGCTCCGTGTTTGCTGAATAAACAGTTAAATACATTTTCCTCTGCCCATTGATCAATGCCTGGTAAGCACTCTATGTCAGCTGCATCATCATAATTTATTTAGCCTTTACTTGCTACCCACAAGTAACATGCACAAATGACTGCCTCCCCTTACACCCCACTGTCCATGAGAACCACTTAAATAAGTAAAACACATTTTAGACTGATAGTGATAAGTTCTGAAGAGAAAAACCACTAAAGAGCAAGGGGATAGGAAATGTAGGTAATATTTGATATGAAATTTTTTAAACAGTAGCTAGAAAAAGCTTCGTTGAGAAGGTAATATTTAGGAAATGACCTGCAGTGAAGGACTCAGACCTGATTCAAGGACAGCACTGCAGACAAAGGGAACTGTAAATGCAAAGGCCCTGGGGTAGAAGTCTACCCAGCTATTGAGGGGCAAGAAATAAGCCAGAGGGGCTAAAAAGGAGTATGAGAAGAGGAGTCACAGACAAGGCCAGATACTGGAGGGCCCTGCAAGTAGGAGGACTTTTAGTTTGTACTGAGTGTGCTAGGAGGACCCTGGAGGGTTCTGAACAGAGGAATGACATGACCCTACACAGGTTGTAAGCAAATCATTCTGGCGGCTGTGTTGAGAATATTCTGAAGGGGGCAAAGGAGTACTACACTTAACCAATATGCCACTACCTTATATATTACAATCAGATAAAAATGAAATAAACTGAAACTAAACTAGTACCCTGGTGATTGCCTGTCTGCCCATTCTGATTACTATGGCTGCAGAGAGAGATGTGATCTCCCAAATAAACTTTAGGGTTGGTAACGATAGCAGTATATATGGATATAGCAGGAAAAAAATTTCATTTACTTAAATTCTCCTCAAATATATACATGGTTTTCTGAATTACAGCTTTTGGCAATGAGTAAAGGTTACAATAAAGAACGATAAGCCCCAACTTTCTGTGGCAGCTTTTATTTTTCCCTAAAAAGACAGTCCACTTTTCTACAGACATGCATTTAGCTGAAATACATGTCAGTTTCTTTTAAGGTGCAGAACTCATACAATTTCCATAACTACAGATCAGAATTACAATGAACAGAACACATCAACTTAAACACTCAAGGTCATCTCAAATCCTGATGAGTCCAGGTCTCTGTGACAGAGGAAGAATTGTGCTAGTAAATAGTTGAACTAAAATTCAGGCAAATATAAAATATGCTCGAAGCCTTCATCTTCTGATTCTTTATTCTTTAACATACTTAAGATTCTCATTCAAATCTAATTAAGTGGTAACAACACCTGAGAGTGTTTCGTAAATGTTTGATTTAAAAATTCCCAGATAGACTTCATTTGCTAATTTTCTGCTCTACTATCTATATTTTTCTTTGTTTCATCTGTCTTCTTTTCTTTCCACAAGTTTCCAAGGACAATTCCTAACAAAAGTACTAGCCCTACTGTTCGGTTGGAGGTAAATTTATCCCAACAATCCTCAGGTCTGTGGATGTCTAGAGTGTAAATCTGTGAGAGAAGAACACAATGATGCATTACTGCTAGTATGGACTTTTTGGCATCACAAACAAATCATTAGAGAAAATATCAGCACTTGTGTTACAGAATTTTAAGCACTGGGAAGCCCTTCAAGTACCCCAAATGGTTTCCCAGTGTAGACAAATCTACCGTATCTCTCACAAGGTATTGTCTAGCATGTCTCCTGAAGACTTCTCCATGATGCATGATGTATGGCTGAATGCTTTGAGAGGCAACCCACACTATTTTCAGTTCTACTTAGAAAGCTATTCCACTAACTAGTCTACAATCTGCTTCCTATAGCTCCTATCCTCCATTTCTAGCTTTATTCTTTGGAGCAGTGTTTCTCAACAGGAGAAGAAGTCACATTTGGGCAGGACGACTCTACTGTGTAGGGCTGCCTGGTGTGCTGGAAGATAATGTATCTGGTTCTCACCCATTAAATGCCTGTAGTGAGCTCTCCCCACTTTATTTATGGTAATAAAAAATACTGTCATACATGTGTAAATTTCCCTCCCATCCCCAAATAGAGAAGGGAATCCTAGCAACCTAGATTTGCAGCTGGTGACCTAGGACAAACATACTCCTACTTCTCCATGGTAGTTCTGTAACTATATCAGCAAAGTCTCATGTCTCTGTCTTTCTCTTCCCCAGCAATCATCAGCAAATTGCTTAAGCATCAGCAACCTGCATTTTCACAACTCTTCTTATTGTGGCTTGCAGACTTAACAGCATGATTTCCTCCTTTTCAAATACTGGAAGGCTATGCCCATTCTAAAATATTGTGTCAAGGACTGGAAAGAGGACCACAAATGCAATTGGAAAGTATAAAGTGTGTTTCAGATAGTTGTTGTAATATTTGTCATTTTTTCACCTTTCTCCACTAATATCCAGGAGCTTAAATATTGCTAAATCTCCATTATTCTGACCAGACAATCAATTGATGGTGATACTCCTATGGAGCTGAGTTATAACCAAAACAGGGAAATTCTGAGGAGGAAAATAATTTATATCTGAGAATCCCTAATGCATCTTTCAGCTTTCCTAATGAGAAAAACAATAAAGATGATATAGCACAGGATTTACTGTTTAGACATCAGACTTGAGTTTCCTTTATACCATATTATACAAGTCTTGCTTACACTAATAAGTAACTTGCAATAATCTGTATAAAATAGATCATCTAACTGAAGCTAACTTCTCTTCAAAGAAAATGGTAACACTGATATACAAAAATACATCCATTTACAATCAATCTATTAATTATAATTAGATTTAGTTAATTCATTTTACACAGGTCAATAATGGAGATTCACAGTATCAGCCTGTAGAAGGCTGGGGTGCTGGGTGCATACCCTGAAATGACAGCTTCCTATGCTCCGGGCAGAACTGATATATAATAATATCATGACTTATCTAGCCTGGGTCTCTATGCCAGTGGGATCAAAACCTATGAATATTTAGTTTGCTTTGCATCTCTGGAACCCCACATTTTGAAATAAAGTTGTGATCAGTTGCTTTCAGAGTAATTCACTTTAACCTGCACCTTCAGACATAGCTAAAATTTTTCTAGACATAAATCAGAAATAATTCCAGAAAAATCAGAGGGGAAAAAACCTACAATTAGTTTTAAATTATTCCTCTAGAACAATATAGTTAGCTGTTTTATATGATAAATTGTGGGAGGGGAGAAGGCAAGTCAAGGCAGTCCAAGCCAAGTGTCTGTTTTAAGAAGTACCTTGCTTGCAAATACAGATGTTGTTTCATTTAAAAAATATTTGTAATTTATTGGCATACCAAAAACGAGGGAAAAAAATAAGATGGTCAAACCTGGTGAGTCAGATGGGCTCCAACAACAGCCAGAGCAGCGTAGTAGGGCACGGTCTGACCAGTGGTCACTCCCACCAGGCTCAGCGACCCCAGCATTGCTGCACTGAAGCCACTAAGCCACTGCTTGGCATTCTCACGAAACCTCAAGGCTGTGGACTTAAGACCAATCAGGGCATCATCTCTCTTGTCCTAACATCAGAAAGCAATAAGAAATTGTTATTTACTGACATATCATAAAATTCAACATTTTGAAGTGTACAATTCTGTGGTTTTAGTATGTTCACAGGATTGTACAACCATCACCACTATCTGATTCTGGAGGACACTGTCTGTTAAGAACATTTCTGTGTAAACATAAAGATACACCATGAGCTGTGAAAGATGACAGTAACTCAGAAACATGGGTTGATCAGTAATGAATGTGCAGGCCAAACTAAAGTCAAATGTTACTGCTCTTCCAGCTGTATTTCTATGTGTCACTGTACTTACAATCCTATGATGATTTCTAACTATACATCACTTTCTAAAAGTACTGTACAGTACTACATTAAAACTCAATTCAAATTCTTTACATAGTTCTCAAATCCTTATTGCAGAGTTCTCAAATCTCAATAATTTCTTGTGCGTTTTAGTTTTACTGTTGTTTAAAATCACGGATGTAGAAAAAGGTTCACTTATCACCCAATCACATCTATTCACACTTCACTTCAAACTCAATTTATGCTTTGTTCCCATCACATCCTTTCTATTAAGCAGAACAAGGTTTTGATATACAGTCACATCTAGCTGACTGCTTTCCTGTAACAACTTTATATGCAAGTATTTCCATATGCTGTTGTAATTATGGTCATGTGGTATCAGAGGCTGTATGACGAACTCTGCACCCACCTGCAGGCAGATAGCTACCTTTTCTCAAAGTCTCAAAATGCAAAAATGTGGGTATGTTTTCCCTTTCATACTGCAATCACCTTGAGGGTACAAGCTGTGACTTTAATTATGTGGACTACAAAAATGTCAGTAAGTATATGGTGTTTTAGCAAAGAAGTTAATCTAACTGGAGTACAGTTATCCCCAGATGCAAAATCTATAGGCATCTCTTCCAAACTGTTACTTAAGTTTCGCTTCAGGAATCAGGCTGATTATAGAGCTGGCAACTTTTCTGTGATAATACACATGTGGTGGGGGGAAGGAGCTAATGAGAAAAAGCAGGATGAAATCCAGATTAAAATATTAGAAAAAAATTTCATTAAGTCATGACATATTCTTTAAGTAAATGATTGAGAATACAGTTATATTTCAGACAAATACTGAGATTTTTTTCATAGTTCATAAACATAAAAGGAAAATTAATAACATAAACCAAAAAATGTTAAAGATTTAACTTATGAAAGGCAATATAAAAAACTATAAAAATATTTATATCTCTAAGTAATACCACTAAAAATTTACCTGAAAAGCTCAGTTATAAAGTCATTAGTAATTAGAATAATACTATTTATTATTAGAACTCAGAAACAACTTGAATGGCCAAAAATAGATAAACTGTTAAAAAATTATGGTATATTAAATCGATGGGCCATTATGTAATCTTAAAGTAATAATGACAAAAAATAGGTGGAAATCTGGGAAAACATTTATTACCTACACTGGGTAAAAAAGCTGCCTAGTATCGTACAATGATTAGAGGCATCAGCAGAAGGGCAGGAAAGGGCAGGTGCTGACAGCACAGACCCTGGAGGCTGCCTCGGTCTGAGTCGCAGTCCTGTCATCTACTAACTGTGTGGTGCGGACCAACTACTTCCGTACGCACACTCCCTCATCTGTATACATGAGGACAACAAAAGTACCTTCCTCTAGGGTTTTGTGTGGGTTACATTAGTGTCTGCAAGGTATTTAAAATGGTGCCTAGCATACTGTAAATACTACTTAAATTTGTATAAATAAAATAAATGAGTTGATCTACTTGGTAAAATACACACATGAAACAGAAATATGTTGTTTGCACCATGGAAGTATGAATGAATTTTTTCAGGGAAAAAACCCCACTTTCCCTTTAGTTTGGTTCTTAAACTTTTTAAAAGACCAACTAACCCAAAATTAAGGAAAAAAATGACATTTCTTTACCTGATAGGCATAGATAGTATCATATATTAGAGTCCACATAATTCCAGAAAAATAGAGAGGCAGGCAAACTGATGGGTCACAGGAGCCCTTGACAGCAGACCACCCAAGTAATGCTCCCCAATTGAAAGTGAACCCTACAGGCGGTGAAACAGAAAGAAAGGAAAAGTTAAATATACTTCAGAGTTCTACAGGGACAGAGAGGGACACCAGCATGCATTCAATGCTTCTGTGTATTAGGCTCTGGGTATGCTGTTTTCTAGTATGTTTCCTCCTTAAACCCTCTCAGCTCTCTGTGATCGTTATTAGGTATATTTTATAAAAAACAGGTTCAGAGAGGTTAATTAACAATTAAAATAACATTGCTAAGAGAAAGAATAACACCCTCCTCATAAATAGGTTTCATGAGAACATTTATCCCACCTGGTATGGTGCCTGGCACAGTCAATAAAATGGTAGATGCTGGGGTACGAACTTAGACTTGAGTCAAAATCCTATGATCTGCATAGTATTCCACTGTGTAAATGTACCAGTTTTTCGATCCACTCATTTACTGGTGGGCACTTACATTGCTTGCAGCACTTGGCTACTGTAAATTGTGCTGTTATGAACATTGGAGTGCATAAGGTTTTTTATTTAATGGTTCAGGACTCTTAGTGTATAATCCTAACAGTGGAATTGCTGGACCAAAAGACAGTTCCATTTTTAGTTTTTGAGGAAATTCCATCGTTTTCCATAGTGGCTGCACCAGTCTGCATTCCCACCAACAGTGCCCTATGGTTCCCTTTTCTCCACAATGGAATACTATGCAGCAGAAAGAAAGGAGCAGCTCCTACCCGTCTCAATAACATGGATGGAACTGGAGAGCTTTACACTAAGTGAAATAAGCTAGACAGTGAAAGACAAATACATGACCTCACCCATAAGTGGAACCTAATCAACAAAACAAATAAGCAAAACAGAACCAGAGACCTTGAAATAAAGAACAAACTGACGGTGACCAGAGGGGAGGGATGAGGGGGATAACAGGGGAAAGAAGGGAAAAGGGGCTAGTCAAGGACCATGAATAGGGGACTCATGGGCACGGACTGTGGGATTTGGTGGGGGGGTAGGGGGAGGAAGGGGTAGGCGTCAGCCATGGGGAAAAAGGTGGGACAACTGTAACTGAACAACAATAAATAAAAAGTAATACTAAATTGTTTTATACACCCCCAAAATTCAATGATCTTTTCATTATCAGTCTACGTCCCCTGTAAGCTACAGAAACAAGAGTACTGATGGAGATCCTTATTTATTTCACAAGCCCACCCTCTGAGGACTGTAAACACCTACTTGCTGACCATTCCTAAATCTCTGTGTGCAAGCCTGATCACTTCCCTAAGCGTCAGACTAGATACTGAACTATCTGTTAGATGTCTCTACTTGCAAGTCTCTCTGACACCTCACTCAGTGGATCCTAAGCATCTTTTCTCAGAAGCCCTCTTTCTCTTATGTGGCCTATTTCTACTCAGAATCTCTCCTCTACTGACGGAGGGCTTCTCCTTTGCGGTCCCACAGCACTCATGCCAGTACATTATACTGAAATGGTCTGTTTAGCACTGTCTCCTTCAAGAGGTGAATGTGGTTTTTTAATTTGATTTTTAATTTTAGAGAGTGGGGAAGGATGAAAGAAAAACACTGACGTGAGAAATACTGACTGGCTGCCTTCCATATGCACCCCAACTAGGGACCTAATCCACAACCCAGGCTTGTGCCCTGACTAAAAATCCAACCAGCAACCTTTCAATTTGTGGGGTGACACCTAACCAACTGAGCTACACTGGCTGGTGCATCATGGTAAATGTTTTTCAGTCACCTTTTATTTTCCTAGTACCTGGTGTGATTCCTGGCACAAAGAACAAGTTAGAGGTTCAATATATATTTGAGCATACCAGCTATCTTAACGTAATCTTAGAGACAGTAGATGCTTATCCTCCTTATACCAAAAGATTCCCAGGTCAGTTAAAATATCATGGCTTTTTTTTTTTTTTTTAAATAAAAAGGAACAGAGCATTGAGAGGATCTTAGAAAAAGATTAGTATTCCACCACAACTTTCCAGTCAGGCTCCCATCCATTTCTTGGAGTATCTGTAGGTTCTTCTTTTATTTACTAAAAAAAAAAAAAATACCCCAAAGAACAAAAAACACAAAGAACTAAAATAGTTTAAGGAATACTTTAGAGTATTCTAGTAATATAAAATACTAGTAAATATTTTATCTTCCTCTCTTTGTACTAATAAACATTTATTGAATTCCTGCAGTGTACCCAATGCTATGTTAGATGCTGAGCGATCCATCTGTAAAGAATGCTTTGTCTTTTAGGCATTTACAATTTATTACTGGGGAGGCAGAGGAGGCTCTCAGTCTTGGTGCCTTCTTGTTGTATTAATGCAGTTGAAATGAGGTCACCAGAGCGCTGTGGGAGCCCAGAGTGGTGTAACTTTTTCCTGGGATGTCTGAGGAAGGCTTCACAGAAAGGGAGCTCTGAGAGGCCGGATGAGCTATCACACATACTTTATTTTAACCCTTGTTCTTCTGCCCAGAGTGTTTTCTATCCCAAAGTCTTCAGGGCATCTAGATCAACCGCTTAAACAGAGAGGAAGGGTCAAGAGAGCTAATTTTTTTCTTCATAACATACCCAGATTTTGTGTCTATATATTATTTTAAAATGTTATTGTTTATGCTATTACAGTTGTCCTAATTTTTCCCCTTTGCCCCCTCTCCACCCACTACACCCCTTCCCTCAAGCATTCCACACCCTAGTTCATGTCTGTGGGTTGTGTATGTAAGTTCTTTGGCTTCTCCATTTCCCATTCTATTCTTAACATCCCTTTGTCTATTTTGTACCCACCAATTATGCTTCCCATTTCAAGTCACTTCACCACTTCCCATATGTGACAGGTGCCCTTCCAGCTGTTGCCCTGGTGGTGAATCCCAGAGTGGGTGGGGTTGCCTACGTTCTAAGTCTGTGTAGGCTCTTTAAACAGTCTCCTGAAAATCAGGCAGTTTCCTCCACCGCCCCAACCCCCCTGTTTTTTACAGCCAGAAGTTATGGAGATTTATCTTCCTGGTGCTGGAACCTTGGGCTGGGGCTGGGATTGCTTGCTCCTAAGGTGTCACTCCCGATTTTTATCCAGCATATGTTCCACCACCACTGCCTCTGTGCCACACTGCATCTCTGCCCCTCTGAATGAACATGGCTTCTTTATATCCTTGGTTGTCAGACTTCTATACAACTCAATTTTCTGATGGTTCTAGGTGTTACTTGTTTTGAGGTCTAGTTATAATTCTTTCTGTGGTTGTGCAAGGAGGTGAAGTGTGTCTGCCTACGCCTCCATCTAGACAGATGTCCCCATACCCAGATTTTTAAAAGAGCATTTCAGAGTAATAATGATAATAATCATAATAAATATGCAAGATTTTTTAGCCAATAGAAATGGCTAACTGTCCTCCTTTAATATATAAAAATCTATTCTTGGTTTGGAAAATTTCATGACTGAATTGACATTTTTTATCTCTGCTCCATTATATATGCATATATGCATGTATAATATTATATCATATCTAAAAGTATAGTTTGAAGGGGAGGGGAGAGTAATGGGGCAAAATGAGGACAACTCTAATTGAACAACAATAAGAAAAATTTAAAAAAACATAAAATTTAAATAAAATAAAAGTATAATTTGAAGATATCAAAGGAAATAGTTGTAGTGAATTCAAACTCACCCAAGGCTAATTGAGGCCAAAACGTAACTCTTTTCATTAGTGGGTAGGTGATGACAAGAAGCAGGGATGCTGTGCCAAGAGCTATACTGAGATCAAGAAAAACCATTAAAAAGATTCACATCACCACCATGCCTTACAAATCACTAAATAACACAACAAAAGTACCACTAATTGTGAAAATAATTTATCTTAATTATATTTTTTGTTATGTAAAATTCTCTTCCTGGACTTTGATTAGGACAAAGGATGATTAAAAACAACTTTAAGTATTATAAAATAAAAAACCACAGTAACAACAGCTAACCCATGTAATGCTTTTATGTACTAGACACTGTTCTAACCACTTTACATATGTTACTTAAGAGGCAGATAGTTTTATGCTACTTGTTTTTGTTTTTTTTTTTTGCAGATAAGGACACCAAAGCTTGAAGAGATTAAGTAATCTGCCAACTGTCATACATCTGGTCACTAGCAGGGCCAGGATTCAAACTAAGGCAGGCTGGCTCCAGAGTCCAACTAATTACCCACCATATGCAACTGCCTCTCTAAATTTTGTATTCAAACATTAAGACAGCTAGAAACTGAGATGTCCTAACAGAGAATTAGAGTCAAGATATTCAACCTTATTTTTACAATGGGTGTTAATTCTCTAGAAGAGGATAAGGTCATAGAGTCCCTATGAAAGGAGAATAACATAAGATGTTCCTAGGTACTGCAAAGTTCTCCTAACACTACCCCCTAGGAATAACCTTCCAAAGTGTTATCATGTGATGGATGCTGGCAGGGCAAGGTACACAATGAAGTCTAGTCTTTATAAAGTAATGCTCATTTGCTGACCTCCTCCTCTTTTTTTGTCTTATTGAAGCACTTTGTAAGCAACCTTCTGATGCACAGAATTTTGTCTATTTAAGAGATACAGAAATGAGTAATTCCACTTTGTCTGTCACGCATTAGAAACATAACTCTGGGAAAGACCAGTTGTTCTTTTTGCATAGTGAGTAGAATCACTTCTGCTCTTACTTACTTCCGAGATACTATTAGCATAAATAAAATTATATAGGGTTGGGCGAAAACAGGTTTATAGCTGTGAGCACATAAAACACAAGAGTTTATTCTTATATTATTATTTATTAATTACTGTATTATTTCCCATGTGAACTGTAAACCTACTTTTGCTCACTCCTGTATAAATGAGTATATCCACACACATCCATGCATGTACCTGAAACAACCTATAAAGTGCCATGTGTCCCTTAGAAACATGTAATGCAAGGTGCTTCGGAATAAATTAAATGCTGATCTCAATTCCTTTGGATGAAAACATACTTGTTTTACAATGTGTGGTGATTTATTTATACTTGCTAACTTACAGACCCTCAATGGGTAGCCAATAAACAACTTTATGACAAAGCTACTTTGATTTTATTTTATTCCTATTTCCTCCATTTCATAAGACAGATTTTATACATGATTATGAAAAACACATTTACTATACCTGTAGTAATTCAGACACAGAAGAATACCCAGTGCCAGGGTCAGCTGGACCCCGAGAAAAATGACAGACTGGAAAATTGAAATGTCTCCAGCAGCTATTGGGCGACTTGCTGTTCTTGTAACCTTAATACATAAAAACAGATACCTTAGCTTCGTGTTTTAGCTCAATAATTTATTTAAACATTTCATTCAGAGACTGGTGTGTGGTAAGCACCAAGGCAGAAATATGAATAAAAGGTGAAATCATCACTGGAAGTCCTGCCAAGAATCAAAACTTGATATTTAAAGCAGCTTTGGAAAGAACTAAAATTTCCCAGCATTCATTCCCTTACCTCCCACCCCCAAACAAAACAAAGATACTTCCTTATCCAGTTACTTAGCTACCTAGCTTAAATAGTAAGTGTATGTTCAATTTCCACAGAGAAAAGAGGGACAACTGTGAGAACTGTCAGGAAAGAAAAACTGCAGTGCATGTTAAATAAGGCTAATATTGTGTGAATGTTTTGAGTATGGGAAGCACCGCAATCAGAAATCAGATGTGAAGAAAGAAGACATATTATCTGGGTTGGAAAATTAGAGGGCTCGTGCCAGCTTATTTAGGAATGTGTCTAATCTTATATTAGCTGCACCCAAATATAAAGGGCAAACCCACTGTGAGAATATGAACAGAAAGAGCAAATAATTATGTGAACAAATGGTATGTGAACAAATACATATGTTACTTTGTTATTTTCCTTCCAAAAGATCATTAAATGTGATTATTCTAAATTGAACCACAGGAAAAAAATAACCAAAAATTTTAACACTGCTAAAAAAACAAAACAAAACAAACAAACAAACAAACAACTCAGGATCTGAGATAAGAGAGCTCAGCACTTTAAATCCCATTCCATCACTTATTGACCTTATGAATTTGGGCAAATTACTTAATCTCTCTTGGGCTTAGGTTATATACCTGTTAAGGGAAAAACAGACTGAGGGAGAAGAGAGAGACATAATAATAGCAGCTATTTCACAAAGTAAACACAGTGTTTGAAGCACATAAGTATTCAATAAATGTTAACTATGTCACTAAATGTTAATGTAACATATTTTTGTATGATTTACATCAAGAGTTAGCAAACTATGGCCTGTAGGCCAAATCCAGCCCAACGCCTGCTTTTATAAAGCCTGTCAGGTAAGGCAGGTTTTTACTTTTTTAGATGGTTGAAAATAAATTTTTAAAAAGAGAAATGTATTATAACACATGAAGCGAATATAAAATTCAAATTTCAGCACCCACAAATAGTTTTACTGAAACAGAGGCACACCCATTTGTTTACATATTGTATGTGGTTGCTTTCATGCTCCAATAGAGTAGTTGCAACAAAGACAGTAGGGCCCACAAAGCCTAAAATATTTACTATCTTATTCTTTACAGAAAACACTTGTGGACCCAAGTCCTAGTATGTTTTACTCTTCCATAAAAACATTACTCTGTTAAACTGTAATGACTCATCTTGGTTAGAGTGCTGGAACTGGATCTTCCAGTCTTGCTTTAGTCTCTAGTTTTTGTTGGAAACAATATTTATGCTCTCATATCTGTTTCAGGATATTATGATTCTTCCAGATAGTATCTGACTGTTGACAATGCGCTATTCTAAGAGCATCACATATGCATCACATCACTGAACCTTTATAACCACCTTGTCTATAGCTACTCACAAGGTCTTGGCATTTCTAACTTTTAGGAAACTAAAGCAGAGACTCAGGAACTTTCCAAAGTCACAAGGAGTACAACAACGTCAGTCTGGTCCCACTGACCACACTAACCACATTACACTAGCTGTTTAGTACATTTATAATTGTCTACCTAAATTTGAAAGCTGAAAATAAGCACTTGATCAAAAGACTAAAAATTATGTAACATGATGATCAAAACATATTCTATGTGGTTTTTATGAAACACGAATGCTCACAGCTCATAAAACTAAATCAATACCTGTGCACTGATATGATTTTAATGTTTATCTATTTAATGTTTATCACATGGCTAGTAGATTACATACATCAGAAAAACACACTTAACCCAGATACCCTAATAGCAACTTACTTAAAATCCTGAGCCATAAACATATCCTAATGACATATAGCCTTTAACTGTGAGGTAAGCAATACAACATGGCTAAGCTTTTTAACTAATCCTTTAAAAGAGATGCATATAACATTTTAAAATTCAGGTTAGCAAAACAACCTCAATAGCTATAAAACACTTATTTACGCACTTTGTTTTATGTCAATACACAATTTGGATCCTTCTAGTCAGAGGAAAATAGCATGCAGGAGATAAAGAATATTTAATCAGTTCCCTTAAATCTAGAGAGGAAAAACTATCACTTAGGGGGAACTGATGGAAAAAGTTGGTTTGAATATATAATTTTTAATCAAACTTTTTTTCTTTTTTTTTTAAATCAAACTTTTTCTTTTGTGGTAACTGTAGATTCACGTGCAGGTTTTTTTTTTTTAATTCTCTGTATTTAAAAAAATATAGAGATCCCATGTACCCTTTATAAACTCCCCCAAGGGTTACATCTTATAAAACTTTACAGTCCAACATCACAACCAGGATTTGGATATTAGGTGCTCTAATCATGTTCAATAATTATTTTGAAGTGATGTGTGCCAGATGCCTCATTCATATGCTTATGCAGAATGAAAAACTGACTAGCATGTATAAAGCCCCAAATCAATGCATCTCCTGACTAGGATCAAGACATCCAAACTGGATCTGCAGGGAATATAGTGGCTTTTAGTATGCAGTTTCTGCTACCATCCCATCCGCTAGCCATACATAAACCTCACAATTGTTTTGTAATGTACTTTATCTCATAGCCTTGCCTCTGTATTTGTTGTTCCCTCTGCCTAGCAACCTCACCCTCCAGCCTGCCCCGCCCCCTTTTTCAGCCACTTTATTCTGACACAGTTTAAAGATCACTCCCTGAAAGCTCTCTCTGACCCACTTCCCTTGTGCTGAGATAGGAGGTCTTCAGTAAGTTCCTGTGTGGACACCATTCTCATGACAGTGCTGCTGTATTACAACTACTAGATGGTAAGGTCAGCAATGTTATCTTTCAACCATGCAATCCTAGACCCTGTCACTGTGTCTTACACAGCAAGTATTCATTAACTGTTTTATGAATTAAAATATATATTAATATGATACTATTCTATAAACTAACCATCATTCTAGGTGTGCCTTGCTTAAGGAAATTCAGACTTAAATGAAAGGCAAACTAAAGGTGAACTATTTGTATATATGATTATTTACTTTAATTCACCATGGGCTTCTTTTAAACTGAAAGTTTACTTGATCACTTACTCAAGCACTTAATGATCTTGTGCTTGTTATAGCATAGCTGCTAGAGTAAAAGGCAAACAAGATAGACCTTTCCCTTGAGAAAATAATGATCTGTTGAAAAACAAAGAAATAATTATACACATGAGACAGAGTATGCCCAGAAAATAATACCAATAAATATAATGTATCAAACCTTAACTCAAGTTTTCTCCGGGGCTTTGGGGAAGGAGATAAGGAGGACTCATACTTCCTAACCTTTCTATTTCTGTACTGTATAAATTTTTCAGAATAAATGTGTTATTTTTCTAAGGAGAAAAAAAGAATAAAATTATGTTTTTAAAAGAAATACTTATAACAAATACTAATAGGGTGTAGTCATTTAAATTAAGATGTGATTTACATATGAAGTTACAGCTCCAATATACATTTCAAAGGAAGGGATGACAGGTCTTTTATTTTTAATTATTTTATTTTATTTTTTAAATCCTCACCTGAGGATGTTTTTTTTCATTGCTTTCTAGAGAGAAAGGGAAAGAGAGAGAGAAAAACATCAATCAGCTGCCGTCTCATACATGCCCCAACTGGGGATCAAACCTGCAACCTAGGTATGTGCCCCGACCAGGAATCAAACTTGCTTGCTACCTTTTGGTGTAAAGGATGACTCTCCAACTAACTGAGCCACACCAGCCAGAGTGGATGATGGTTCTTCTAGACACTCAAAGGTTTGGATGGATTTTTCACTTCACTCAACATCCTTACCCTGGCCTTCTAAATCCTAATTCGTTTCATAAAAATAAAGTATATGTTGGGGGCTGGGATAAGCCTGAAACAGGCTGATACAATCCGACCTGAAGGTTGCGCCTGAATAACAGGATGCTGCGGTTAGGAGCCATAGAACTCCCCCTCCTGGACATGCGGGTGGCACACCAATCAGTGCCTTGATCACGCGCCCGCCATGCACCCCCCGGCCAATCGCAGGCTAGAGCACGCTTTGAAGCCACCTATCCACTGCACTTCCTCCACTGCCCTCCTCTATATAACTCCCTCCATTTTGAAATAAATTTGCAGCTTGATCAGAATCCTTTGTCTTGCTGCCATTCTTCGCGCCTCCTGTCCCATCCCCCTTCATCCGTTACAGGTATATCGGCGGACCCCGTTGACTGCCTCGCGGGCCGAGGCAAGTTTATACCCCGTCCCCATGGCTGCTCCAGTGCTGAGAAAAGAAGTGCACTACACTTTGTAGCACCAGCTATTCATTCAGCTGTTATTGGCACTTCTTATGCAGGATTTCAGTGAGGACACTAAATGAGGCTGCTGCTTTCTGAAGCATTCAAAAATGATGCCACCATGTTACTCTACAGAATTTAGATGAGCCTCTCTGCTCTTTTCAATGATGAAACTACCTTTTTATCGTAGTCCCGGTCCCACATGTCATTAATAGTACAGCCTGCTCCACGCATCAGAATAGCGCCAGTGCCAAACAGGGATAGCATGTACCAATCTGGAAAACAACCAGGCTCAGCTGCCAAACCAATGCTCCAGGTACAAGGCAAATAGAGCAGCCAGGTTCCTAAGCAAAAATAAAAAGACAAAATATGTATATGTATTCATATTTTCAAGTTGATTAACTATTTTAATTTGTTTAAACACCACATCCCAAAGAAGTAAAAAAAAAAACCCACAAGTCAAAAACACATGACAAAACGGAGACAACAAATCTGTCATTCATATCACAAAGGACTATTTTTCCCTAATATATATAGGTTTCCTAGAAACTGAAGAGAATCAATATAGTCCAACTGAAAAATGGACAGAACGTATAATAGAGGTTCACAGAAATACCAATGGTTCTTATACATATGAAAATATAACCAACTTTGAAAAATACACATTAAAATTACACTGAGGTAACATTCTTCACCTATCAGATTGGCAAAATTCAAAGTCTGACAACACACCCTGGGGAATCGGATACTTTCATGTATTCCTGATGAGGTTCCAAAACAGTCCAACCCTTATGGACAACCTGAAAATTTTGTGTGTATACATGCATACACACAGATAAAACAAATACATACATTTGAATGTTAGTATGTTCACAGACCATGTCAGGAAGGATATATTAGAAACTTGTCTGTGAGGAGGGGAACTGATTTGCTCAGAGACTTAGTTTTCAATCTACTCTTATACCTTCTGAATTTTGTATCACATGCACGTACTACCTGTTCAAAATTTCTTTACTGCTTTTGATATATTTACAATAAAATGGTCTTGTGGTAGGGAGACTATTAACCGTTTTTAAAAACATATATTTTGCAACTACATGCATGAATGGGCTTAGTTCTTGGTCTTTTGCCCAAAACTAGATGAAATTAAACTAAAACCAAACAGAGCAGTCCCCCCTTATCTGTGGGTGATATGTTCCAAAACCCCCAGTGGATGCTTGAAACGGTGGACAGTATCAAACACTGTAGATGCTATTTTTTCCTATATAAATGTACCTATGATAAAGCTTTATTTATAAAGTAGGCACAGTAACAGATTAACAACAATTAATAAAATAGAACAATTAAACAACGTACTGTAATAAAAGCTGTGTGAATGTGGTCACTTGTTCCAGCGGATTATAGAGGCCCAGTGCTTTCTGACACAACACGCTGCTGTCAGCCACAACATGTTTTCTGTTCATGTCTTCCCCTCACAAATTCAACGCCTTTTTCATCTCAACTAAGCATTTATCATACACTGTGACGGTAGCTTTTGCAGTATGAGGGCCATAATTGCAGTGTGAGGTGCAACAAACTAGCACAAATTTCTTTTTCCTTCATAATTTCACAGATAGAAAATTCGTTCTTACTGTAAACCTTAACAACCTTAGCATACAATTTCTTTTCTTTCCTTATTGAGAACTTTCACCTTTTCACTTTAAGGAAGCACTTCAGAGCTTCTCTTTGGCATATTGGAATTGTCAGCATCACTCACTCTTGGCTTTGGGGCCATTACTTAGTAAAGAAAAGTTACTTGAACACAAACACTGCAAAGTAGCAACAGTAAAGTAATGGGCAGGGAGTGTATACAGTGTGGACAAACCTGACAAAGGGACAACTCACATGCTGGGCAGACAGAGTGGGGGATGACGCAAGATTGTATCATGCTATTTCAAAATGGTATGGAACTTAGAACGTATGAACTTACTGAATTATTTCTGGAATTTTCTACTTAATATTTTTTGGACCCTAGTTGATGATGGTTAACTGAAATGGCAGAAAGGGAAACCGCATAAGGGGGTACTACTGTAGATTGTGTGAATAAGAAATTTCGCACATGAACTTTAATAGATACCTTACTTTCACAAAAAGTCAACAAATGTTTGGATATGGTGCTCATTAGAAAAATTCTGAGTTTTCCTTCCCTATTTATCAATATCAGAGAAGAAAGATATGTGGTTACCAAAAGCTCAGATCCTATATGAAAACAGACAAATGGTGAAGTCCTCATAACCATGTTTAAGCTTCTTAAATTTTATTCATTTGCAAATATTTATAAAGCACATATTTTGTGCCAGGGCTGTGCTAGAAAGAGGGAATACAAGTGACTGAGAGTTGGTTTCTGCCTTTACATAGCTTATGCATCAAAAGGAAGAAACACAGCTAGCCAAACAGTAATAAAATAGAACAACTCAACAACGGAGCAAGCACAGGGTCCTACAAAGGCATAAACCAGACTTGCCTAAGTTCACTGGTGAGACAAGAAGGAGAATTCAGGAAGGCTTTTCCAAAAGGGGCTTAAACTCACATAGAAAAGCAAGGAGGAGCTAAAAGTGAGAAATGGCTAGCTAAGACCTGAATAACAGTAGTTAATGTAGCACAGGAATAAAATTTCCTATAACCTTCTAGGTTCTTTTGGCTAGTCTAATAATTAAGTCAACATGTAGCCGATTAACAAGAGAAAATAACCAAATTTAATTACATATATATGGACAAGAAGTCTGAGACCCACTGTCCCGCCGGACCCCTGAGAGCAGGTGAGGGCAGGGAACAGGTTGGGCACTCACGATAGGCAACCACTTGTTTCTCTCTTACATCAGTGTTTCTCTCCCTCTCCTTCCCTTCCCCCCTCTCTAAAATCAACAAGCATGTTCTCGGGTGAGGATTAAATAATAAATAAATAAGAGCCCTAAAAAAGGGCGGGGATAATTCATAGATTGATAAAAAGAGCAGATATCCAGTAGTTAGATGCCTGCCCTGCTCTCTTAAGTTATTTTTGTTAATAACTCTTGTAATGGACAAGGCCCCCAATTTAAAATTTAAGGGACAGGTAAAAGTTTCTTTTGAACTTGCAAGGTCTCAATTACCTTCAGCTCAAAATAATGTCTATGCCACAAAGGCACATCTTGGAGAAACTCATTCTGATCCCCTCCACTAACATGTACTAAATGTTTGTGACATGCCAGGCAATGTTCTAAATGCTTTATATGTATAAACTCATTTAATCTTCAAAAACGCTCATAAAATAGGCGCTATTATTATTATTCCTATTTTACACATGAGGCAACAGATGCACAGAGGTTAAAACAATGGGTTTAACTACTTCCTTATAACTCTGAGGGACAGAGGAGCAGCTAGCTGATCCTGCCCAGATAAAAAAGAAAAACGATCACTTCACAGGCATTATTTTCCTGGTACAAAGAACTGAAGGTTCCAAAAAAAAAAAAAAAAGAACTGAAGGTTCCACTTACAAAATAATTCTAGAGAAAGATGTGTAACCTCCTGTAACATTTTGTGTTAAGAACAAAATTATCTTGGCCTTAGTTTGTACTGTAGGTGACATATTCACTTACTAACAGGAATCTGTAGGTCACCGCTACAGATGAAGAGCATTCCTATAATGAAAGAACAACTCAGATCTCCTGCTTGACGCCTGCTACTCGTAAGTGCAATGACACCGATATTCAAGTATATTAAACTTTAAGGCTCATTCTATATCATCTATAAATGAGGGGGAAAACATCCACCTTGTTAATACAGCCATTTTAATACTGAAGATAGAAGAAAATATGCAACATTTCTGGCATATTACCCTTTATTATTTCAAGGGAGGTAAAAATAAAACTGAAACACAAAAGAAAGAAAAAGATCTGCGTAGTGTATGGAGAAGGCGCTGTGACTGATTGAATGTGTCAAAAGTGATTTGTGAGGTTTGTTAGGTACTACTGACATTTTGGCCAAATAATTCTTTGCTGTAGGGCTGGTCTTATGCATTGGAAGATGTTTAGCAGCTCCCCTAACCTCTACCCACTAAAAGCCAACAGCAGCAGATAGCTGACATACAGAAAATATCTAAATCAATAAAGGTACTGGTGAAAATAAAAAATGTGTCTTTTATGGAGAAAACTAAATACACTTTTTAGCCAACCAATATATAATAACTATTACCCAATCTCCTTCAATTCCCACTTCTCAAGTAATAATAATTAACATTCTTGAGCACTTATGTCAGGCACTGTTCTAAATACTCGACATATATATGTGAGTTTTCATGACAATCTTATAAAGTCAGTACTATTAGTATCTTCATTTTATAGATGAGAAATGATGGCCCAGAGAGGTAAAGTAACTTAATTGAGGTCCCTCAAATGGGCAGAGTAAAGATTCAATCCCAAGAGGTCTGGCTCCAGAGCATTATGCAAAACCTCTTTTTGTAGCCTCTTAGTATGCTGTAGGGTGGTCCAGCCACTAAAGTAGAAATAAGAGGTTTACCAAAATGGGAATAACAGTACCTGTTGATCTGCCATGGATGCCTGTAAACTTATACTGAAGCTCTGTGACACAGACCCAAAGAACAGAATTATGGTTAGGCTTTAGAGTAGAACTGGGCTTGGAAATTTATGCCTTGTATCTGGCTCCCAAAATGCAAGGCGGCATGATGGGCAGGGCTGTGTCTTATTATTTATTTTGCTTTTATACTTTACTTGTTGATTGCCATAAACTTTTAGTGCTCTGATCCCAAATAGGCAGTGTATAAACCTAGGATACCAAAAACCGAGGCCTAATTTGAGGTCTTGGCTCAGCAAAGGTGGAGAAAATGTATCTACACATCTGAATGTACTACTACGCGCTGCAATAGGAATGCCAACATCTACCTGGAGTTAAGCCTCTATCTACCACTCCCTCCCATTTTGTCCATCCTTTTTCAGTCCAGCTTCTAACCAGCCTGTACTCCCACTATTTTCTACTCACACGTGGGATTCTAGACCAGCTTATATTCTTAATGTTCAAACAACACTCTACCATCCCATCTTTGCGAAAAATATTTCCCCCACTGATCAAGAGCTCTGCCCTCCTCTGCAAAATCTACCTGTCCTTAAAGTTACACTTTCTTCTTTTTTCCAGCAATGAAAATCTCCAGTAATTACTGTCTTTCCTGCCTGTCTTTACTGTACTTACTAACTGTATCACTTAAATCAGCTTTTTCAACTATACTGGGAATTCCTTGAGAGCAGGGAGTTTCTATAGCTCTTTCTATCTCTGAAGCTAGGTGATTCTGTAGTTGTTTATTAATTCAATGCTACTGTCAGGTTCTGTTCTAGGCATTAGATTTTTTTTTAAATAGCCCATTTATGTGGAACTTATATTACATTGGAGAGATCAATCACCCAATAAATGCGTAATGTTCGTTAATGGAGAGTGCCGCAAAAACAACAAGAAAACCGGAGGTGAAGGGACAGAATGAGGTGGTGGGTGGTATTTTAAACAGGAAGGTCAGTGAAATCCTCAGGAGGCGACTGTGAGCTGATAGGTAGTCCATAAGTGCTCTACTTGCTGCAGTCACATGCATTAAGTCTTTGTGAGAGGGGTGGTGTAGGGCAAAGAGCTGGAACCCAGCTTCAACTGTTCTGGCTCTGCCTAAGAGCCTTAGTTTGTTCAGTGTTTTTACTGTCTATTTGCACTAGGAGCCTTACAGGATTACGGGAACGATCAAGCTTAATTAAAATTAGGAAGTGCTACAATACTGCACGTCTCTGCAAATCCAGGGACACAACAAGCACGGGATTTCTGCTCGATTCACTACTAAAACAAGGATTATGGAATGAGCATACTTTTTTGCCCGGCTCAGGATTTAGAGGAGCGTTAGGCCAGGTCACTTCCCAGTTCGCCAGGTTAGGGTGTCTGGAGGGCACCCGGCGGCCGAGATCCAGCTTTAGTGCTTCATTTCCATTACACCAGCAGCCCCTGGCCCGCCCGCGCCCGCGCGCACTCACCAATGGGCTTGTCCAACCTCATGAGGCGCAGGTAGGGCTGCAGCGGGCGGGGCGCGGACTCCACCACCGCAGCTGCCGACAGGCTGAGCTGACGCCAGCGCAGGTCCCGCCCCGCGGAGGGCCGCGGGTCCCCAGGGCCGGGCGCGCCAGCCAAGCGCGCCAAGGCCAGGGAGCGACCCCGCGAACCCCACAGCCCTGCCTGTAGCCGGGCTCGCAGGCATCCTGCGAAACCCGCGCCCCCTACGCCCAGCATGGTTTTGGGAAGCTTTGTGGCGCACAGGCCTAACGTCGTTTCCGGGCGTCGGGTCCAGGGCGGGCATGCGCAGTGACACCGCGAGGTGCCCGTTTGCGCCTTTCGCTTGTGTCGGTGTGGGCAGTAGGTGGTGTGGCTCTACCCTTATGAGTACCCTGAAAGAGGGGTTACTGTGGTCACTTTACCCGGGAGTGCGGCCCCCTTGTTATCAGCTTTCGCAGTTTTAGCAGGAAAAAAAAAACACGCAAAAAACCTACTGAATCCCAAATGTTGATTTGCAAGCAGGTAGTTCCATTTTTAAAGCTAAAAGGGGCACCTTGAGGCCATATCCAAGAGTGTAAGTTAAATCTGTACTCAGAGTTAAAGAATGCTCATTACACAAGTGAATACCTTATGTTTAACAGTCTAATTCAAAGGAGTTGGTATAATTGATAGCCGTGGAGTGTTCGAGAAGCTAAGAGCCTGCCACTAGAACAGCCGGTTGGCTCTCAATTTCTTGGGTGACCATGTGTGCCAGGCACTGTTTCAGATGCTTTACATGTATTAGCCCATTTAACCACTTACTGAGTGACCATGGGCAAGTCACTCATCTGGATTTTAGTATTCTAGGGGATTAGGTTAGTCTTTAAGTGTCTTTCCTTAAACCCCCGACCTGGTTATGCTGTGATATTTTGAGTCCCCAGTGGTGGTGTTACCAGACAGGAGCCTAACCGTGAGCGGGTCTGCCTAGTGCCAGCTGGTACTGTGTAGTTTCTTAACTTCATGTAGGAATGACTTCATAACAGAAGCCCAGGTGACCATGAGGGTACATTTATTAAAGTTGGGGACATTAAAACAAGGAGTAGAAAAAGAAACAGGAGAGCTCCTCAACTAGGCTGGGCTGCCTTAGTTTACTGGGAAGTCAGAGAAAAGAGAGCTTTGGAGACAGGTTCAGGAGGTTAGCCTGGGACAATGTGCCACTGCCCATTGCCTTAGAGTTTAGGAGACACCTGCTTGAGGGGAAAGAAGTAGGGAGTGGGGAGAGGAAAGGAAAGGGAATGGCTGGGCCTGCTCCCCAGAGGAAGAGCTCTGAGTGCTGCATCTTTGTCTTGAGGCGCTCTCTCTCTCTCTCTCTCTCTCTCTGTCCTGGGGAAAGGGTGTGTGAATCTGATGCAAGGTCTCAGGGGAGGGTTCATAAGACTTTTCATCAGCTCTCCAGGTCCTTTCAGGGCCATGGTCTCCACTGATTGGTCAGTGACAGAGCAGGAGTTCCTTGGTCATTGCATCTGGTCCTGCCATCACCCATCTGGTTTTGCTGCTTTTCTCGGCATGTGGCTGAGATACAACTGATAACACCCTAGGTGTTATCTCTAGGGATGACTTTTTGTATGTGCCTATAAATTATTCCACAAGTTTTTCAGCTATTTGTTTCAGTTTCCCTATTCCAGTTGCCAAGGAATTTTCCTAGCTTCTTACTGTCCTGTCTCAGTGTTGCCCAGGGGCATTCCTTAATAATGCTACAAGACTAACGGCACAGCTAGTTCACCAATTGTAGACAGAGGGGTCCAGGCACTGGGCAATTTTATTATACAGGGTCAGGTAAAAGTAGGTTTACAGTTGTGAGTATGAGAAACACAGAGTATATTTTTGCATTCGTATTTATTAATTATTGTATTATTTTCCATATAAACAACTATCAACCTACATTTTCTCCCACCCTGTATATTGGTAACAACAACAAAAAATACACTTCTTCTTGTGTGTATTTCCTCTACTCTAATTCTACTACAACACTACTCCACTTCTGACCCAGAGTGTGTGGGTTTTCCACATATGAAGCAATTGTGACACCACCTAGGGGGCCTGTGACATAACTCAATTCTGACACTACCTGGGCATAGCATCAGATCCCATGGATTAAGGGCTCAGTTCCACAAGGCTGCCCCACCCGCCACTGCAGATGCTATAGCTAGGACATGCCCAAGATCTGTGATTTCTGTGATTTGACTTAATTTTCTACAGTGGGTCAGGGAATTTAGGAAACATTTTGTTTACTATATTACCAATTTATTTTAAAGCTGAGGACCAGCTGGATGGAAGAGATACATGGGGCAAAGTATGTAGGAAACGGCACAGAGCTTCTATGACCTCTATAGGCATAAGCCACTCTGCCTACACATCCACATGTTCACCACCCTGGAGCTCTCTGAACCACATCCTTTTGGAGCTTTGTGGAGGCTTCATTAGAGGCATGGTTGATTAAATCACTGACCATTGGTGATTGAACTTAATTTTTAGTTCCTCTCTGCTCCTCGAAAGTTGGGAGTGGGGCTGAAAATTCCAACCTTCTAATAACGTAGTTGGTTCCTCTGTCAACCAGCTCTTGCCCTTCAGGACTTCCCAAAAGTTCCCTCAAAAGGGGCTCCTTATAAATGACAAAAAACACTCCTATCATTCAGGAAATTCCAAGGGTTTTAGGGGCTTTGTGCCAGGAACTGGAGACAAAGACTAAATTTATTTCTTATACCATAATATTATATAAGTGTATAAATATTTACTACATTCCATATATAAATGTTATATATTACATATACAATATGTATATTGAAGTCCGAAGAAGACTTAAAGGTATAGCAATTCTATGGCTATTCTTAACAAGACAAGTAATAAAAGTTGGAGAGGTTATGGGGAAAAGGGAACCCACATTCACTGCTGGTGGGAATGTAGACTGGTACCAACACTATAGAAAACAGTCTGGTGGTTCCTAAAATTTAGGAATAGAGTTACCATATCACTCAACAATTCCTTTCCTGGGTATCTACCTGAAAAAGTCTAAAACATTTACTTGTCAAGATATATGCACTCCCATGTTCATTGCATCATTGTTCTCCATGGCCAAGACATGGAGACAACCAAGGTATCCTTTGACAGGGGATTGGATAAAGAAGATGTGGTAGATATGTACAATGGAATACTACTCAACCATAAGAAAAGATGAAATATTGCCATTTGCAACAACATGGGTGGACCTTGAGAATATTATGCTAAGCAAAATAAGTCAGTCAGAAAAGATAGGGACCATATGATTTCACTCATACGTGGGATATAAAACTGAAACTTCTAGATACAGACAACAGTATGGTGGTTACCAGAGGGAAGGGAGTTGGGTGGGGGTGGGGAGTGTAAAGGGGGCCAAATATTGGTGATGGAAAATATTTGAATTTGGATGGTGGGCACATACTGCAATATACACATTGTGTATCATAAAAATGTACACTTGAAACCTATATGATTCTATTAACCAATGTTATTCCAGTAAATTTAATAAAAATTTTTAAAAAGGTACAGCAATTCTAGTCCTAACAGAAACTCTGCTGGCATAAACCCTCTTCTACTTGCTTTCCTTAAAGTGACTGACAATCAGGAAAATGTTTGCAGTTACCTGACAAGATCTGTGATTTCTGCTCACTAGACTCAGTTTAGGAGATTTCTTGTGAAAATAAAAATGTGTTCTATTGGGAACTGCCCCGCCTGGTTTCAGGAGCTGTAAAGCCCCCATGACTAAGGCTGAGTGAGCAACCTTCAGACCTTAAGCCACTAAAGAGACAAAGATTATCTCCCTGGCAGGAGTGCCACTTCTGCTCCTTTTTTCATAACTGGTCTCCAGTGCTTGATCAGTTAGCCAATGACAGGTAAGATTCCCCAAGGGGGGAACAACCTAAGACAGGCATGATCACGTGGAGGGCCCAGGGAAGGACTTGGGGGGCTATGGAGAAAGAGGGTGATGGACCCTCACCCCTCAGCTTTGATGAAGCCTGAGTCCTCAGTTTGTCTGCAAGAAGTCTCTGAGCATTCCTTGGCTATCTACCTCCTCTGCCTGACTTAAGCCTAACAACGACAGAGGGCGGTACAGCCCTGTGCTGGAAAGGACGGGCTCCCCAGGTGATCAGGCCTGAGAAAGGATATGTAATATCCTGTGAAGCCTTCTTTGTTAAGAATGTTCTCAGTTAAATGGTAAAGGCCCGAGCAGAAAATGAGCTTGTTTTCCTTTATAATTGATTTGGCACTTATCATTGGAGTTGTGCTAATTGGAATCTGTCTTCTTCCAGTCACCTTCCGATTCCTTGCAAGAGGAATCAGAGGAGTACAATTAGAAGTAGAAACCTTACATTTAAAAAATAAAAAAGGGGGAGAAGTCGGGAGCTGACCAGCAGCCGTCCCTTGACACAGTCAGGACGGATGAGATGCATCTGCACAGCAGAGGCAGCTGTGGCTGGACTTCCTGTCTCTCTCTCCCTGCATGTCTGTCTTTGCAGTTAATAGGTGGTGGGGTTTTTTTAGACACCTTCATTTCAGGTCCAATGATCTGCATAATTCCAATGAAGTTATACAAAATAATTTCTTGGCCAGAGAACAAAGTCCCCCCTAATGAAGTAGCCCCTGAATATCTAAAAGTTGATGGAGTAACAGCCCCTCCTCTGCCTTGGACAGGAATATATATTAATTAGAATTAGGCTAAGAAACAGGAGAAGCTGGTTAGCTATTACAAACTAAGCACGTAGAAACAGTTACCAAGGAGTCAGAGTCCATATTACATAAAGAAACATTTTAGACAGAAAGATAGATAGCTAAGTTAGACATCACAAAGGCCTTATAATAAATTTCCTATAACCTCTGCTTGGTCTAGTGTACCCATTTGCCCCATGCCAAATTCTTAGAACTTTAATAAATAATAAGACATCTAAACTCTGTACATAGAGCTATTTCAAATTGTCTGATTAATGGCTCTCCTGGTCAAAACAACTTTTGTTTAACATAACTGAAACTATGGAAATTCTTGTACTTTTCCTGGTTACCTCTGTATTGGTTTTTTCTGCTTAACTGCTCACACCATACACCTGTTCCTTTAATGTTATATAACAATCTCTATAAAAATAAAGCCTAAATCAAACTCTGAGAGTTCAGCCAGACCCACAGAGGCTGGCTGTTCTCCGGCATCCAATTGGGTGTCTGACTCATCATTTGTCACCTGCGCCATCCATCCTTCAGGGACCCTAAA